ACACACACACACACACACACATCATCACACACACAAAGAGGTACACTATAACCAAAAGGAAGCACACACAAGGACCTGGAGGAACAGATGAAAGAAGCCAGGGTACGGAAGGATGGATAGGTCACACAACCCAGATTGAGGTGCTAAGTCTAGGATTGAACAAGGAGCTCAGCAGGGTTTGGGAACAATTGGCTATGAGTCAGATCAACACAGGAACACGACCCCCCCAATAAAAACCGGGAAATGAACGACATGTGACCCCAATAACCCTGGCTTACCGACAACCCCAAGGAAGGAGGTTTGCCGGAAGGTTCATTCCTACCCTCTAGGAGAAGGACAAGAGGGTTCATCTTGGACATCCCAAGTGCAAATGAAAATGAACCAGCAAAGTTCTAGAAGCACAATCATAACCCGCCCTCCCCGTGTGACCGGAAGTTTCATAATAGCACTGTCACACTAACCTGGCTGCCACTTGGTGATCTTGACTATACTCGGACCATCATGTGTACCGCCATCCCCGATGCCCAAGGTAGGGCTTGCAAGTACCATCCCTCGGGTCTCAAAGTGAGCAGCAGCTCTTCCTTTCTACTTGAGAGTTCCCGAGCACTTGCGCCGTGGAAAAATCATCCATCTCCGACGAACGACGAACTCGCTGTCCGAGGCTTTATACAAGACCATCGTAAAAAAAAATAAAACCGTCGTAACAATGATTGTTCTCAGTTGCTGCCAACTTGGTGGAATATGGCAGCACATTGATTGCAAAACGTTTTCCTGGAAGCACGCTAAGGAATTTTTTTTTTTATTATTTTTTTTTTTTTTTTTTTTTAACCTCAGACGACTAGGACAGTCTGATGTACTTTGACCGTGCCGAATAGCTCGGTGGAGAAGAAGTGGGTGGTACTAAACCGAGTTCTCCCGTCCCCGTTGTCCTACCCCATGCCTGGGAACTTGGTTTCTCTATGTGTCTCCATCCTCGTCATCATTAGCTGCTTTGTAAAGGACGACCGAAGCCGTCTGACAAGCTGTCACGGGAGGAGGGGCGAAAAGCTTTAGGGGAGGGCACACACTCTTTTCCCAAACATGAGCTTCCAACTGCACCTCCCAACTTCCCTTTTTTTTTTTTTTTTTTTTTTTTTTCAAAATTTAATGAGCTTCCGATCTATGCCTTGCAGAGTCTCTGCCTCTGGATTCCAGCAGGTAAAACGGTATTGTGCGATCTATTTATGTCTTTTTTTTTTTTTTTTTTTTTTTT